ATGGCGGCGCGAGAGACCCCCGCCGCGGCTCGCTTCGCTCGCCACATGGCGGGCGTCCCATGCGCCGCCCATGCCCAAGTCATGATTTCACGAACCCCGGTCAACTGAGCCTGGCGTCCGTCGAGTGACCGTCATTGAGATTCATGTAAGGACCCTGATTGACAAGCCACAGAGTCGTGTATCAAGAAGGATTGTGTATTATTGTACCATACTCTCCCAGTCAGTCGTAGACGTATCTCGGTGCCGTATACGCCGTGCTCAAACCTGGTCACTATCGACCAGAATTATGGGCGTGATAGGGAGATGGTGCCGAGTCTGTACATGCGTATGAGCCCCAGACTAGCAATACACGGCCACAACGGCCGCATGGCCGACACCAGCATGAGTAGAGCATAACGGACAGACGGAACTGAGAGTGCGTTCTCGCTCGGGCCGATCGAGCCGACCACACCCCGAGCACGGGATAGCGTGCACAAAACAAACGCGTCGCCTCGGCGAAGTCGGGCGAAGCGCGCGCCGCGTCGTGCCATTCACGTGCTTTCGGAGATGTGACGATTCTTCGAACTCGGCCACAAGCTGTGTCTCTTTCGAGCCCCAGAATATAGCGGGATTATAAGTTCCACGGTGCCTGGCTATTGCCTAGGGCTTGAATGGTACCCGTTTGGGCCGCAAAGACACGGGCACGGTATAGGAACGCGGTGGTCTGTGCCCAGCAGCCGACCGGGATTTGCCGATCGCGAGCTCGCCGTATCAAACGATGACGCGAAACGCTCACGCATGCCGTTGAGTCCACTCGAGCTGAGTCGAGTTGAGTCTCCACCCGGCCCCACCTGGACTCAACTCAGCTCAACTCAACGTGAGTTGGACTCAACTCGCGGCAACACTACAGCAAGCTCGTAAGCTGTTACTCGACCGTACAATCAGACATCCGTGCTAGCTATTGATCGTGCTCACCCTGTCAAGGTCGCGGACTGGCAGCCCTCCGACGAACAGTCGCTCGGAGATACTGCTAAGGTAAAGACAGCGGGGTAGCACAGGTAGACAGCTCGAGTATTTGTAGTAGTTGGTCGCAAACAAGACTTAGTCCCAACTTCGCTTCATTTAACCCTAACCTCAGAAGCCGCCGGAGCTTCCGACGGCCTTACGGCATCAGGCACAATTTAC